CGTGGCATTTTACAAGAAAAAGGGTTTTTTGTTTTTCCTTTATAGGAGAGGTCTCTAAAAAGTGTATGGAAAATGCATATTATGCAAAAAACAAAGCATGGATTTCTAATTTTTTTGCATTGCTAATTTTTTTCTGCCCCAAAGTAAACTCACACTTTAATCCCACTTTCCCACGAACTTTCTGAAGTCCCTTCCTGTAGAGGCCAGAACAAACACAGGAGTTCCGATGTCCTACCTCGGCTGAGTAAGGTTCAGGGGAAAGGAAACAAAATCTACTCTTTTTGTCCCATGGAAGACGAGACATTTTCAGTCACGCACAAAGGGAGAGGGATACAGTTTCAGAGTGAAGACTTGTCCTTTAAAGCAAAGAAAGGTCCCTTTCTGGAAACTTCACTAACCCTGTCCCCCCCCAGGGGACACAGAGAGCACCCATAGGGACAGCCCTGCTTCCTGTCCTGCTGGGACCCTCGGAGCCCGCGGCCTAAAACTTTGGGGGCTCCAGGCTCTTCCTACAAGCCTGTTACTCTCCCAAACAAAACCCTTCCCCTTTGCCCATCGCAGCCTCCTCCTGTAAGATAAAGGCCCGAGTGGAAAGGCACGCTTGGCCAGAGGAGGCGGAGGAGCCGTCCGGGGCGCACTCACCCAGAGGTAGCGCAGGAGCTTCAGCAGGCCCGGGCAGTAATAATACTCCATCGCGGGGCCAGGGCTCTGTGGCCAGCACTGCGCTCCCAGTTCTCCTCTGGAGGGGGCGGCTCTTCCTGCTCCGCTGGTCACACGTGGAGTCAAGTTCAAAGCGGCATGAATCATTCAGAAGCTGCCGGCGGCCAAGGGACCAGCCAGACGCCCCACTAGTGGCCACAGCCGCCCCCCGGGCGGAAAAGTAGCTGCTTCCAGCCCCACGAGGCCAGGGGTGGCTCCTCTGAGCCCAGGACCTCCCCAGGAGCCCTGGGCATGGAGGGCTTCTCTGTGGTGTCAGGAAGAGCAGGGATGACAGCCGGGAGCCGAGTGTGCGAGTGTGTGCGTGTGCGAGAGAGAGCTTGTGCGTGTGTGTGTGTGTGTGTGTGTGTGTGCGCGCGCTTGCAGGTAAGCATGTGTATCCAAGTGTGTGTGCAAGCTTTCCTGTGTGCTGTGTGCACGTGGTGTGGGTGTGCGTGAGCGCAGACGTGTGTGGGCCCTCCTCCCCCAGACCACAGCGGGAGAGGGAGGCCACGCTCTTACAGGGAAGGAAATAAATCAACCCCAGATCCCGCTCACGTGGCCCGCCGGCCCCAGCCAAGTTCCTCTGGACTCCGCCAAGCTTCTGAGCAGCCTGGAAGAGGGCTTGGTTATCCTCATTTCACAGAGGGGGAAACTGAGGCCCAGAGAGGGCTAGCGACGGGGCCAGGGCCACACAGTGCGTTGGTTACCAAGCCATGGAATCCCGGTCAGGAGTCCTGGGTTCTGTCCTCTCCTGCGGGCGCTCTGTCCGGGCAGGGCAGGGGGTGCCGAGGAAGGGAGGGACCAGCTGCCTAGGTGGGCGGTGAGGCAGCATCAACTTTCAGAGATGAAACATGCAAATGACAGTAGGAGTTTCCCAGGGCTGCCCAGGGCAAGCTTTCTGGGCCGTTTTCTTGACAAAGATGACTTGGGCAGTCAGTCCACCTCTCTGGGCCTCAACTGCCCCCTCTGTAAAATGGATGGAGTTGGAAAACACGGCAGTCACACCACGGGGGGTGGGGGGGTGCCATTCTCATCCCCGTGGTCCAGAGGAGACACCTGAAGTTCGGAGACACAGTGACCAGGGCAGGGCAGGGAGGCCCCAGAGCCCTACCCACTACCACGTCCTGGAAGCCAGGGGACACAGAGAGCACCATAGGGACAGCCTTGCTTCCAAGGTCAGGCCAGGCTGTCCTACTCCCCAGGAGGGACATGAGGTGGGAGAGGGATCCCCAGGGAGCCCGAAGCTCTGCCTGCCCAGGGGCACCCTGGCCCTCCTGCAAGGCAGAGCAGCAGGCAGGAAGCCCCCACTGAGGAAACCACAGGTGGCCCTCGGAGCACGTGACAGCGGGCTGCAGTGTCATCAGCTCTCGGCGCCCCACACCCATGGACGCGGGGCTCAGTGGCTCTCTACCAAAGACCCTGACGGGGCTGGTCTCTGCTGATGCGGAGCTGGGCCTGGCCGTGCGGAGGAAGGCCGGCCCGTTTGCTGACTGCCAAAACAGCCAAGAGGCACGCGGGTCCTGACTGACCGGGCCCTCCCTGGCTGCCGGCTCAGGTGGAGGGACACACCCTGCCGCCTGGCTGGTGGCTGGGCCTGGGGCCTCGCTCACCGACTGACCGACTGATGACACCTCTGGGAGTCAGGCCCTGCTGACAGGGGCCTAACACTGCCACATACATGACCCCCACCATGGCAGAGGCAAAAACAAGCCCACGGGTCACTGGGGCCTCCCCGACTCCCCTTGGCTGAGGGCGAGAGACGTGGAGAAAGCTCAGTGCCCACCGGCCGGGGGAGGAGAGAGAAATGGTCTGTAGGTGCAGGTGCGGGGAGGGTGGCAGGGACAGTGGGGTGGGAGGAGGAGGGTGGGCAGGGAGCCGGGAGGAGGACAGAGGGAGGGAGGACAGGCTGGGTGGAGGAGGGGGGGCAGGGAGCCGGGTGGAGGACAGAGGGAGGGAGGACAGGCTGGCAGGGCAGGTGTGGAAGAGAGGGAGTGTGGGGGAGAAAAGGGAAACAGAGACTGGAGGGAGAGGGGAGGAGGACAGGGGAGGGAGGGGAGGGAGGGGAGAGGGCCGCAGAGCACATGCTCCAGGGAAAAGGAGCCAAGGAGAAGAAAAGACCCCAAGGAAGTCAGAGAAAGCTCCCGAGGCAGATGCCCAGGAGGCAGCCAGAGACTGAGAGAACAGGGCAGGGGTGAGGACTGGGGTGGGGACAGCAAAAGAGACGCTCAAGTCAGACCTCAATGGGGGGCCCAAAGACAAGACCCCCGAAGCTTCCCGCCTCCCAGCCCTCGGGCAGTCAGAGAGGCCAGGACGCCCCGGAGCAGCGCCCAGCTCTCCTCCTGACGGGGACACTGCCTTTTTCTGTTGTCCCTCTCTGGCCAGGCTGGCACCATCCTACAGGGACAAGGTGGGCCAGGCCGGGCACTGACTGAGTGGCACAGTGTCCAGCTGCCCTCTGGGGGCCACCTGCAGGGACAGACACCTCTATGGGACCCCCGTTCTCCGGCTCCCCACTGCTCCCCTCCACCCCACCCCTGCCCACCTCTCACCATTTGACCCCACGCTGTGAGCCAGGCGCCCCGGAGCCTCTGCTCGGCAATGGGGCCTCTGCTCAGCTACCGCGGCCACAGACAGTCTCCCTCCCTGTAGATCTTGAATGGAGCCCCCCAAACGTGTGTCTACCCAGAACCTATAAACGTGACCCTGTAGATGCTCTCAACTTACAGGGGATTACGCCCTGACAGCCCCATCGTCAAAACTGCACCCGACACCCCAGCCCGGCTTGAGCTACGAGCATTGTGGCGGGGCCCAGCTACCTTAGCGGCGCTCCAGTATTGCCCAACAGCCTAGAGTGGGCGGAGGCGTCTACCACGGTGCCCGGTCCCCGCTCCACGACAAACTATAAATACCTTTTGTTGCTGTTGTTGTTATAGGGCACGTGCACTCGCCAGAGAGAGAGACAGAGAGAAAGAGAGAGGGAAAGGGGAAAATGAGCCCTGGGGGGATGGCCATGCCACGGTCCCCTTTCCTCCAGCCTCCCCTCAGGATTCTGGGTAGGCACGTGTGTGCTCCCAAAGTGACTCTCAAACTGCCAGGTCTGGGACTCGAACCGCACAGCCGGACACATGGGACCCAGCCCCTGAGCCCCCACACCACCTGCTGGTTCATCATGTTATTTATTAGACACAGAACAACGGAGGGCAGGGGTCCTCTCAGTGCTGTCTGTGGCCTCCTGGGGACCCGGCGATGCGGCGGGTCCCTGTCACTTGTCGTCACCTGCCAGATGGGTGGCGTACTGGAGACTCACGGGAGTGCCAACCCCCCGACTGTCATGTGATGGTCTCTCTGGGTACTGCGACGTGGGGATGGTGGAATGGGGTGCGTGGTGGACGTGGGTCACCCCAGGACCGGCCCCTCCCCTTCCATCCTGCGAGGACACCCGGCAGCACAGCAAGGACGAAGCGGCCCTCACGAGATTCGGGGGCTGCCGGCACCTTGATCTCGGGCGTCCCGGCATCCAGAACGATGACATATACATGAATAAGTTACCCAGTCCCACCGAGACATCCAGCTAGGCCCTAAATCCGCGGACAAGCGTCCTTCCAGGGGACAAAAGAGAAGACACGCGAACAGAGAAGGCCACGTGAAGACAGGGTGAACGTTAGTGAGGTGGGCCCAGCCAAGGAAGCCCCGGAGCTACCGGGACAAGAGGCCCTCTCCCAGGGGCCCAGAGGGAGCGTGGCCCTGCTGGTACCCTGACGTCCCTCTCCCGGCCTCCAGAACCTCTAGAGAGTAAGACTCTCGCTTTAGGCACCACGCGTGTGCAGTTGCTTAGCGGGCCCAGGGAGGGACTGCCCTCTTCCCCTTCCCCTGGCTGGGCTCCTCGCAACGTTGAGGCCTCCAGTTTAAAATCCAGGGGCAGGACGGTGGCGCAGTGGTTAAACACAATGCCCTGCAAGGCTGACCCACGTGGGAAGGCCCTGGGTTCACGTCCGCAGACCTCTGTGAGTGTGTTGGGCATGTGTGCCCACAATCCGGGGCTGGCTGGGGTGGGGGGGGGGGGGGGCATGGCACCAAGACCTTGCTGAGAGTGTTGTCTCTCTGTCTCTGTCTCTCTCACTCATGGAAGAAATCAATAAATAAACTAGGGAATAAAAAAAGAAAGAAAGGTCTAATCAAACTGCCCCAGCAGCCTCCGGCCGAACCTTGAGGCAGGGCCCAGCCCTAGGGCTGGCTACATGCCCTCTCTGTGGCCCCGTGGTGACAGCGCCTGTCCCATAGGGTCACTGGGAGGGGTGACTCGGGTAACAGCTCACAGCCAGTTCACAGGCCCTGACGTGCCCACCGTGGCTTATCAAGTTCAGACACCCCGGCTGGCCAGCAAGGAGCCCTAGCGGCAGGCCCTCCAGGCAGGGGGTTATCTGCCCCAGAGGAGGCATCTCGGAGCCCATCCCAGGGCAGAGCCAAGCCACAGGGGCCTGACGGGTGTTACCAACACAGGACGTTCGAAATCACCAAAACACACAGCTGGGAGAAGAGGAAGAAACAAAGCAGAACTGCTTCACACCCTCGGGCCTCAGCCTGATGCAGGAACTGCCCCACCGGCCCCGTCCAGTCGGGGACAGACAGGTAGGTGGGGTCGGACACCGCCAAGGAGGAGCCTGCCCGGGACGCAGACCAACACGCGGTAACGTACAACATGGATGCAGGGGTCGAAAAGCACCGTGCGCCATGAACACAGCTGGACCCGAGAAAACACGTGACGCGTGACTCCGTGGTAGGACTGTCCAGAAACGCCGGGTCCAGACAGACGGGGTGGGTCCGTGGGTGGTGGGGCGGGGCGGGGGGCGGGCGCTGCTAAGAGGGACAGGCTTCTCCCCGGGGGGGAGAAAGCGGCCCGGAGAAGAGAAGTTCAAGCCCCAAACCTGATCGCTTGCTTTCTCACTTTGTCTTTCTCTCTTTCTCTGTCTCTCTCTCTGCTGAGCACATGTGCTCTTATAGCAACTTTTTAAAGATCATAGTAATAATAGATAAAATTAAATAAATAACTTTAAAAAAAATGAGTGAAATTTATAATATGAAATTACACCTCAATGTTGGAAGAAGAGGAGCGGGCCAGCCCATGGCATGTGGTGAAGGTGGCTGGATCCCACATAGCCCACCACACGTTCAAGTCCCGGACCCGGAGGCTGGAAAAGCGCACTGGAGCATACGCATGCCCGGAATCCCGATAGGAGGGGGAGGCGGAGAAGGGACTGCGGTGTGCCCATTCCCCATGGGGCGTGCTTTCGTACTGTCCCCTCTGGTGAGCACTCGCACCCTCTAGTAAATTAAAAAAAAAAAAAAAAAGAGGAGGAGAAAGAGGAAGAACTAGCCACAGAGGACTGAGGGACGAGGAGGCAGTAAAAGAAGAGGCCCAGGTGGCACGCGTGGTGTCAGCCCTGCTGGGGGCTCTCTCTTCACTCACCCAGAGAAATCCCTGAGCCCTGCGAGGAGCTGGGATTTGTACTGAGACAGGCCTGGGTTTCAATCCCACCTCCGGCCCTGCCACACACCCTGGGCAGCCTGCCTCTCTCCTCCACAGATGTAAAAGGAGGCTGATAAAAACAACATCGTCAATAACAGTAACCGCTTCCTCCCCGCGAGGGGCTGTCATGAGGGAGCAGCGAGATGTCACGGAAGCACCGAGCGGCTTACAAGTACCCCATCGATAGGGGCCTTAGCACTAATGGTGGGGAGGTAGGGACAGAAGTGAGGCAGAGGAGGTAGGAGTCTTGCCTTCAGGAGGCTCATGGTCTGTAGAGGAGAAGTTCTCAGGAATAAATGACAGCACTCCAGCCTTCCAGCCAGGGATGGAGGAAAAAGGTACAACCCAGGAGGGCTTCCTGAAGGAGGTGGCAGAGAGCTAAGACTTGAAATATGACAAAATGTTCCTCTTTTCAAGAGACACTCAGTCCAAGTAGAAGGTCCAGCACTTCTTGGCTAGTTAGACAGACATGGCTGTTTCCCCTACTTGGCTGTAAACCTTCTACTCAATCACTCAACAAACATTTATTTACTGAGCATGGACGCTGTAGACAACAGTGAGGTGAAAAGACAGTCAAGGGTCCTGCGATCCTGCAATTCTTGTTGGGGCAGGGAGAGGAGACCAGCAGACTCATAAGAAAAATATAGGCTTAAGTCAGAAATGCCGTTTCTACACCCGCAGGGCTCTTGCTGAGGCTAACTATACCCCCCATACACCCTGCAGTCTTTTAAAAAATCAAATAAAAACATAATTTTTCCAGAAAACGATTTCTTCCGAAGAGAAACATCACCAGTGAAAATAAAAGGGGTGGCCGGGGCGGGTGCAGAGGAAAGTCCCCTCCCAGCTGGGCAGCTCTGACGTCAGGCTCATAAAACAGAAACTGCCCTGGGCCTGCGGGAGCAGAGCGGAGCGGTGTGCACCAAAACTGCATCAAAATGCAATCTAGGGGGTCACGGAGCAGCGGCGGCTTCAGGCTCAGAGCGGAGGTCCCCGTGAACAACAGACGGGTTAAAACGCACCGCAAAGACGCAACGCGGAAAGCAGAGCGCCTCCATCCTGCCCTCTTGTGGCCGTTTCTGAACACTGCACAAGGACCCTGGGGCCTTCTTTAATCCCGGGGATTAAGGAGACAATCTGTAGTCAGAAAATCCCCCGGATAATTTCAAACACCACTGGAATGCAGGGGCCTCAGCAAGAGCGGGGCCTGGCATGAGCCGCACCTGGAGTGCCCGCCTCGGCTGCCTCCCAGAGCTATGGCAAAGACCGAGCAAGAACGTGACTGTGAACCCGGGAGAATTCCAGCCCCAGCAGTTTGAAAAACACGCCAGTGCAGGTGCCTGTGTGCCCAGGAGCCCAGCAGGATGGAGAAAACGGACGAGAAGGGATTGTGGCCTGTCCACACTCCACTGGAGGTGCTCTCCCGCCTCAGTGAAAACAGAGGGAACCAGCAGTTGGCGTAATGGCTATGCTGCTGGACTCCCATGTAGTCAACCATGGTTCAAGTCCTGGACCCGGTGGCTTAAACTCACACTGGCCATGTGTGTGTGCGTGCCCAAGATCCTGAGAGGAGAATGGAGGAGAAGGGATTGCGGCCATCTCCCCTGGGGGGGATTTCTCGCTTTCTCTCTCTCTATCTCTGTCTTTCTGGCGCGTGCATACAAGCCCTATAGCAAATACCTCTCAAAAAAAAATATATATATATATAAAGTATTGTTGCAGGCAACGACGTGGCCAGGCCTCACAAATGCCACACTACCGGAAGGGGGCCAGGCCCAAGGACCAGCCAGGCCCATCTACCAGTATGCCCCCGTTTCACGGCCATCCGGAGCAGGCAAACTAACCTGCGGCCACAGAGGCTGAGCCGTGGTCACCCCGGGGCAGCAGGAGGACTGAGAAGGCCTGCAGGGAAGTGATTCTTCGTCCTGCTGTGACGGGCTTCTGTAGGGGTGGTCTCCGTGAGAACCACGCAGCAGCTAGGACTGACTGGCGCGCTGTACGGTCTGTAAACTGTTCGTCACTAAGAAGGAAACATGAAAGGGTCGCGACTGGAGAAGCGATGGGTCACATCAGATTAGACAGGATTTTCTTATTGGAAACTGCTCAGGGCTTGGATGTGCTAAGGGGCACCACGGATCTCAAGACAACGCGAGAAAGGATGCCCGGCAGCCCGCACTGGGCACCCACCCCTGGGGCCTCCATTCCCTCACCTGTGAAATGCCACATGTACCGTGGGAGTCAATGCCTTCCCTGGAAAGCACCAACACCCCCTCCTGGGTTTCCTGCAGGCCCAGGGCACCTCCAGCGCCCGCAATCCCGCACACACCCACTAGGGGGCGCGCGTGCACCAAGAGGCCCGCCTGGCCCAGGGGAAGACTCACCCCGTCGTTCATTCCTCAGTCCTGGCTCAACCCAATGCAGCCCAGCCCTGGCGGATGCTGCTCTTCCACCCAGGATCTTGCTCCCTACAGAGCTCCTTCCCTTCCCCAGCCGCAAGGGCTTGTTTCTTCACTGTGTGTCTGGACAGTCACCTCCCCACTCCTGAGTTCAGATTCTGAACATGGACTCTCACGTGGCCAATGGTGGTTCAAGTCCCAGACCTGGAGCTTGCTTTCTCATTTCTCTCTCTCTCTCTCTGGTGTGCCCGTTAGTAAAATTTACAATAATAATAATACTAAATAAAATTGTTCTTTAATAAAATAAAATGGGCAAAGGATTTGATAGACATTCCTCCAAACCAGATACACGATTTGTCATGAGTCTATTAAAAGGTGCTCCACGTCATGAGTTACTACGAAAAGGCAAATAAAAACCACAGGAGCTGCCACTTCATCCCCAGTAGGAGAGCTACTATAAAAAATAAACAAACAAACCAGAATGTAACCAATGTCACTGAGAACATGGGGAAATTAGAAGCCTCGCACGCTGCTGGCAAGAACGCAAAATGGTGTTATCAAGGTGGAGAACAGTCTAGCAGTTCCTTAAAAAACGTAAACAGTTACCATCAGACCCCGAAATTCCACTCCTGAATGCCGACCCAAAAGAACTGAAAGCAGACACTTGGCAGATACCTTAGGTGGAAATAACCCCTGTCCATCAATGGATAATAAAAGGGAGGTCTTTAATATAATGCAATATCACTCAGCCTTAGAAAGGAATGAAGTCCATGGGGACCAGCAGTTAGCATAATGGCTGTCGCTGGACTCCCACGTAGTCGACCGCGGTTCAAGTCCTGGACCTGGTGGCTTAAACTCACGCCGGGCACGTGTGCGTGCGTGCCCAAGATCCTGAGAGGAGAATGGAGGAGAAGGGATTGTGATATGGCCATCCCCCCCTGGGGGGTAATTTCTCACTTTCTGTCTCTCTGTCTCTCTCAGTCTGTCTGGCGAGCGCACACTATAACAAAAACCTCTCTTAAAAAAAGAAAGAAAGAAAGAAGAAAGAAAGAAAGAAAGAAAGAAAGAAAGAAAGAAAGAAAGAAAAGGAAGGAAGGAAGGAAGGAAGGAATAAAGTCCCGGGACCAGCATATCCACCATGGTTTGAGTCCCAGACCCAGTGACTTGAAATTCACACCGGGCGTGTGTGCACACATGCCCAAAATCCTGAGAGGGAAATGGAGAAGGGATTGCAGCGTGGCCATCCTCCCTGGGGGATGATTTCTCGCTTTCTGTCTCTCTGTCTCTGTCTCTCTGGCAAGTACATGAGCCCTATAGCAAAAATCTCTCAAAAAAGAAAAAAGGAAGGAAGGAAGTCCTGATACGTATTAGGACATGGATGAGCCTTGAAGGCATGACGCTGCGTGGAGGCTGAATTCAGAAGCTGAACTTTCCTGTCCTTTTCTGGACAAGGACACGTTCTTTTTACAGAAGGTGTCTAAAGTGGGCAACTTCAAGAGATGGACAGCAGAAGAGAGGTTCCCGGGGGCTTGGGGCAGGAGGGATGGGGAGTTAGTGCTTCTTGGCTGCAATTTCCCATTCGGGATCATTAAGAAAATTCTAGAAATGAGCGCTAGATATAGCTGCACAGCACTGCTTGTACTTAATGACAGTGAGTTGTACGCTTTAAGATGGCCGAAGGGATCGCCGGTATGGCATTTATATTCGACTGCAACAACCAATGTTTAATGGTCTGGCGGGGACTGCAACATTCTCGCTGGTCTCCCTCCCTGCGATGCCCACCAGAGGGCGCTCCCAGCCTCCTCTGTGATGGCGTTTCACCCTGATCCTCTCTCCCTGGCTCCTCAGGGCTCCTGTGTGTATAAAACCAAGCCCTATTCTGACCCTGAGGGTCACCCTCTCCACTCCAGCCTCAATGGCATCACCATTATTACTAATGAAAGCAAGCCCAGGGCCTTTTCACATGCTGCCCCCTCTGCCTGACGCTCCCTCTGCCTCCACACAGCTGGGTCCTCCCCTAGGTCTCAGCTCGAATGTCGCCTCCTCCGAGAAGCTCTCCCTGATCACCTCATGGAACACAGCTCAAGCTACCCTTACTCTATCAGTCTTTCCCTTTCAGACAGGGTCGGGATGTGCTGCTATCCTCCGCCTCAGCCCCCCAGGGTCACAGATCACAGGTGCACATTAACACGCCCAGCCGTTAGATTGGACCAGTGATCAAACCCTGGCCCCCGTGTGGTCCCAGCCTGCAGAGCTCAGTCTTAGCGGTGCACGTCACCATGGCTGGGCCTCCCCAGTCCTTCCTGATTGCCAGAAGCCCGGTTCACTTTCTTCCTAGCCCTGGGCAACAACGGAAGGGCTCTCCTCGCAGCCCGGCTCCTGGTTTAACGTCTGTCTCTCCCCACAGCACAGGACAGCCCCAGGAGGACAGCCACCTAGGCCTCACTCACACTGCACCTGAAGGGTCAAGGACAGCGTGGGGCACCTGGTAGGTGCTCCATCAATGCCCACCGAACGCGTGAACAGGTGAGTGGGCGAGTGGGTGATACCCGTTCTCGCCCTGGCTCACACGAGTACTCGTCTTGTTCATCTGTCATCCTTAGGGCTCTGAAGGATTAATAACTGGATAGAAGACAGATGGTTGAGGGCCAGCAGGCGGCACAGTGGTTAAGGTGCTGGGCTCACACGTGGCCGATGATGGATCGAGTCCTGGACTCGGTGGCTTGACACTCGCAGCAGGCACGTGTGCGTGCACGCCCAAACTCCTGAGACGGAATGGAGGAGAAGGGACTGCAGCGTGGCCATCCCCTAGGTGGGAGTGATTTCTCACTTTCTGTCTCTCTGGCGAGTGCACGTGTGCAATAGCAAAAAGGCTCAAAAATAAGTAAATAAGTAAGAGCTAGCTGGCTGCCTGGCCCGGGGGTGGCCGGCAGGTGCACAGTGAGACGGGGAGTGGGGAGATGATGAACACTAAGTCCCGGGACAGGCATCTCGGGAGCAATGGGGGTCACTTGCCTTTCAGACCCAGGAGACAGTCCCAGCCTGGGGGTACAGCTGGGGTGTGCTGACCCGCAGGGCCAGATCCACCTGGTCCCGTGAGCCAGGTTCCAACACGACCTGAAAAGTTTGGCTGCACGTGTGCCCCAGACCCCGGCGAGCTAGGGCTGTGGGAGGGCGACCACATGCAACAGAACCCTCAAGAGCGTCTCCCTCTCTCCCCCTCATGCACAGGCTCTCTCGTGAACAAGACAAACAAGCAAATCCCCAGAGACAAAAGCTTTCTGGTCTGGCTGGCTTTAATCCAGAAAATGAGCTTTAATCAGCTGAGATGCAGCCCGTCCGGCAGTGACAGACAGGGAGCAATTAGCGAACGGTCAGCCCCAGGCCGGAGGCCCCTCTCTGGTGAGCCCCCAGCTCCGAGCTCGAGCTCGGATGGGACACCCAGTGCTTTGTCCTGACTTGTCCAGGCAGTGGGTCCCTCTGGCCACGGGCGGCTCCCACCCTGCTGCCTCTTCTCCCCCCACCTTCCCTCCCTTGTCTGAGGCCACTCCCCAGGAAACTGGGGGTCCTTGGCAAGTGGAGCTGTGTGACCATCCCTAAAGCCCAGTGCCCACCACACAAATCACGCCCCAGTACTCAGCCACTGGGCGGGTTTCCCCTGTCGGCCCATCTCCTGGCTGGGGCCTCCCTCGTCAAGGACCGGACAATCCCCATCGTCCATACTGTGTAAACAATGCTATCTGTCACATGACAGTGGCCAACTCCAGCTGGGCCAGCTTCCATGACAGAGGCTGAGAGACTCGACCAATGACGGTCCCAGACCCTCTTACCACGAGCAGGGACCCTGTGACCTGGTTCTAGCTAAGTGAAAGTCCCCCTGGAGGCTGCCCCAAGAAAGCTTTTACTTTCTTTTTTGTGGAGAGGTTTTCGCTATAGGGCGCGTGCGCTCGCCAGACAGAGAGAGACAGAGAGACAGAAAGCAAGAAATCGCCCCCCAGGGGGGATAGTCACGCCGCAATCCCTTCTCCTCCATTCTCCTCTCGGGATCTTGGGCACGCACGCACGCGCGCCCAGCGTGAGTTTAAGCCGCTGGGTCCGGGACGCGAACTGCGGTCGACTACGTGGGAGTCCAGCGACATAGCCATTACGCTAACTGCTGGTCCCAGCTTTTACTTTCTTGATTTAAAGGACGGACTCGGCTGGCATGGCCCTTCTGGCATCCACCACTTCCTGACGAAAAACGGAACGAGTGCCTGGAAGCGCAGCAGCCACTTTGGCACCATGAGGCAGGAAGCATGAAGGGAGGCCCAAGAAACTTTCCGAGGTGCGAGCCAAGGCGACTGCCCACCTCCAGACTTTCAGCTAAATCACTTCCATTCGACGTGACAGACAGGCCCAACAGCCAGTGTGGGAATGGCAAGCCGCACAGTCGGGGGGATAGCGCACATCCTCAGCAAATAAAAGAACCGTAGACCCTAGTCACGACTTGTTTTTATAATAATTATTTACTTATTCCTGAGAGCATACGCGTGCGAGACTTGGGGTGGGAGAGAGACAAGCACCCACGGGGCCTGGCCACACCCTTTCTTCCAGCCCTCCAGACTGTCGGATCCTGGGCACTCGCGTGTGTACATAGTGTATTTCAGGCTGATCGGACTGGGGATTCGAACTATGGTTGCCATGTGGGATCCAGCCTCCCTCAAGCAGCGCATTACCACTACGCCGAGTCGGCTCTACAACTTGTCGCTTCATCAGATCTATGATTGAAGTCCCCTCGTATCTGTCAGAACAAAGACTGCACCCCCAAACACGTGGCTTCCCCTCAGGGAAACAGGCCACTGCCCCCACCCACCTCACCTCTGCAAGTCTGCCCTCCATCCATGCCTCCCCTCTCCCACCTCCGAGCCCTCTCAGGCCATCCTCCTGTCCCCTGGCCTGGGAGCACCAATAGGCTGAGGGAGAGAATCCCCAGGCCCCTGGTGCAGGCCCGGCGCACAGTAGGACCACAGCGGAGTGAACTCACTAGTCAATGAGGCGGCCAGTGCCGACTGCTGACTCGGGGAGTCGGACAGAATTCCCGAGGCTGTCAGAGGCCCACCCATCTTGTGGAAGGTCACTCCCGTGGCTTGTGATGGGGCCTGTGGAGCCACCTGGGACCCAAGGTCATGGTCCAAAAACTGAGTCACTGCGTTTTATGGGCCCTGCTCACGCACAGGCCAAAGGTCACTCATGGAGACAAGAGGGGTGGGTACCCGCCCTCGGACAGGGAGGCAGGCGGCCAGGCACGAGACCTCGGTTTGCCACATGGGGACACATGAGGACAGGGGATAGGGAAGGGCAGCGAGCAGGGCTGGGAAGTCGGAGAGGCTGGCCCCGCCCCGCTCTGCCTCAGGCTGCCACAGGACCCCGGACCAGACGCGCCCCTCCCTGGGCCTGTCTCCTCGAATGCAGAAAAACTTGGAAGACGGAGCCCTCCTTCCTTCCCCACTGGCTCCTCACGAGAACGTCGGGAACCCCTGACGGTGAATAACAACTGCACGCAGTAACCCCAGCCAGTTCTTGGCCAGTGGTCAGCCCGGGCCAGACGGTGCCGAGAGACTGAGGAGATATTACCGCCTCGTCTCAGCTCCACCCTCCCTCCATGACCACGTAGGCAGGGCAGTTAGAAGTGTGGACTCCAGGGGCCAGCAGGTGGCGTGGTGGCTAAGATGCTGGACTCCCACATGGCCAACCACAGTTTGAGTCCTAGATTGTGAAAATCACACCGGGCAGGGACCAGCAGATGGCAGCATGGTTACATCACTGGACTCCCACATAGTCGACCCCGGTTCGTGTCCTGGATCCAGAGGCTTAAAACTCATGCTGGTGCACGTGCATCCATGCCCAAAGTCCCAAGAGGAGAATGGAGGAGAAGGGATTGTGGCGTGGCCATCCCCCCTGGGGGTCATTTCTCACTTTCTGTCTCTCTGATAAGCACACACGCCCTGTAACAAAAATTTCTACCCCCCCCCAAAAAAAAAGAAAATTCACACCAGGTATGTGTGTGTGTCCAAAATCCCGAGAAGAGAATAGAAGAGAAGGGATTGCAGAGTGGCCACTCCCTCTAGGGGTGATTTCTCACTTTCCCTCTCTCTGTCTCTGTCTGATGAATGCATGTGCCCTACAGCAAAAACTTTAAAAAAAAAAAAAATAGTGTGGATTCCAGGGCCTGGAGGTGACACTCACTCTGCGAGGACCCGCACGGGCCGGGTCTAGAGAGCCTGCAGTATTGGGACCCTTGGGGGTGCTGTCTCTCTCTCCCACTCATGGAGGATATGAACCACTTTTATATAACATTTCATTTTATAAACACTTCATCTTATTCACTATTATTTTTTATGCTATAGGGCACATGCGCTCATTAGAGAGAGACAGAGAGACGGAAAGTGAGAAAGTAAGCCGCCAGACCTGGGATGCAAACCGCAGTCGGCCACATGGGAGTCCAGCGCTTTAACCACCACGCCACTGCAGGCCCCTAAACCTTAAAATAAATAAATAAATAAATAAAAGAATATGGATGCTAGACTCAGAACGTGGAAGACTTCGGACAGCCCTGAGCCTCTGCTCCCCCTCTGTAGAGCGGGGGTACTAACAGCATCTGTACCACCCACAAGTGCAGCCAGGGTGCGCTGCTGAGTCCTAGAACCCCCTCCCGGTCTTACCTAGGGAAAGCGGCCAGCTTACACGCACTGGCTCAGGCCTCCTGTAAGTGGCTGCCCAGGGAGTGTGGGCGGGGCCATGCAAATCAGCAGGCAGCCAGGAGGCTGGCCCAGGCCTCAGAGCGGCAGGGTGGTCAGCCCCACTGCACCCACATCCCATTCTCAGCCCATGGAGCCGTCCCAGGGTGCAGAGTGTCTTGTTTCTTCATGCCACAAATGCGCCAAACTCAAGAAGAGAAAGCAACTGGAGGGGGCTGGCAGCGGGCCAAAGCATAGTCTCTTCCCTCTAGGAAGAGCCCGGGGCCAAGGCTGGAAGTGAGACAGGCCCGGTTTCCATTCCAGCTGCCCTGGTTGCTGTGTGGCCTTGGGCAACTGACTTAACCCCTCTGTGCCTCACTTTCCTCCTCTGCAAAATGGGATTCATACTTTCTCTTTTTTTGAAGTAGTTTTTGCTATATGGCGGCATGCACTCGCCAGACAGAGAGAGACAGAGAGACAGAAAGTGAGAAATCACCCCCCCAGGGGGATGGCCACGCCGCAATCCCTTCTCCTCCATTCTCCTCTCGGGATCTTGGGCACGCACGCACACGTGCCCGGCGTGAGTTTAAGCCATTGGGTCCAGGACTCGAACCACGGTCGACTACATGGAAGCCCAGCGACATAGCCATTGCGCCAACTGCAGGTCCCTCGGATTCATACTTTCTAAAATAGAACTGGAATAGGGCCCAAGAAGACACAGGCCCGAATGAAGATGAACCCTAACCTATGCTGGAAAGTGAACAGCACTGTCATTCACCACAACGGTGGCATAACAGCAGACGGCATTCATCGGGGCCCCCTCACCCACCTCATGGGGTTCAGAGGAGCAGGGCCAGTCCCAGGGGTTCAGAACCCCAGTCCTCACCTTGGGGGCTGCCCCGGCTAAGTCAGGTTCCCTCTCTGAGCCTCAGTTTCCCCACATATAAAGACAGAGTTGGATAGATGAGAAAATAATGTGGAGGAGAGAGAGCAGACAGAGGAGGAGAAAGGGAAGGGACAGCGGAAGGAAAGAAGGAAATGGTACCATTGTCGCTGGGGCGTTAAATGAGAATGTACTATGTGCTGGGTGATCTCATCTATAGCTCAGAAAAACAGGTCAGATAAGATCACCTCCATTTTACAGAAGGTTCAGTAGGCCCCATTATGTCACCTGCCCAAGGTCACACAGCGGCAGAGAGAGAATTTGAACCATTTCTTTCCATCTTCAGAACCCAGCGGTAGGGTCCCTCCCGGCTGGGCTGCTGGAGCCACAAGGAAGCGAGAACACTGCCTCCCCCTAGTGGTCGCTCCCCAGAATTGCAGGCACAAGTCCAAAAAGCAGGAAATGAGATCTGAGACCCCAGCCCTAAGGAACAGGGATGAAATCCCTCTTCCCACCCACCACCAAAGGAGAGGAAATGAAGCAGGAGTAGTGGCCTCAGGGCCTCTGAGGCCAGGAGGAGAGAGCCAAGGCAGAGTGCACAAGGACTCCCAGGACAAAGGCACTTCAATGACAGGCAGTGAGAGAGGAGGGGCAGGTGAGCAGAGTCTATAGACAAATTTTTAAATGCTTTCTCCCCATAACCTTTGTCTTCACAAACATGCATAGAAGTTCAAGAACAATCAGCTAAGCTGAGTCATTGTCACCTGAGAGAGAATGGAGAAAAGAGTTCAGAGAGAAATCAGTGGAAGGGAGTGTTTCAGTTAAAAAAAAAAGAAAAAAGAAAAAACTAGGCAGGGGTTGTGGTAAGATGAGACCCTGTTGAGGGTGCTTTTCTCTCTCTCCCTCATGCACACACACACACACGCTATCATAAATAAAATAAATTTAAAACAAAACTTTTTTCTTTTTTGCAGAGAGATGTTTTGCTATAAGGCACGTGCACTTGCCAGAGAGACAGAAAGCGAGAAATCACCTTGCAGGGGGATGGCCATGCAGCAATCCCTTCTCCTCTAGTCTCTGGATTTTGTCTCTAGTCTCAAGATTTGGGGCATGCATGCACATGTGCCTGGCTTGAGTTTTAAGCCACTGGGTCCAGGACCTGAACCACGACTACGTGGGAGTCAATTATGCCATCTGCTGGTCCCATACTAAGAAAGAAAGAAAGAGAGAGAGAGAGAGAGAGAGAGAGAGAGAGAGAGAGAGAGAGAAAGAAGAAAAGAAAAGAAAAGAAAAGAAAAGAAAAGAAAAGAAAAGAAAAAAAAAGAAAAGAAAAGAAAAGAAAAGAAAAGAAAAGAAAAGAAAAGAAAAGAAAAGAAAAGAAAAGGAAAGGAAAGGAAAGGAAAGGAACAACAAGAAAAGAAAAGAAAAGAAAAGAAAAGAAAAGAAAAGAAAAGAAAAGAAAAGAAAAGAAAAGAAAAGAAAAGAAAAGAAAAGAAAAGAAAAGAAAAGAAAAGGAAAGGAAAGGAAAGGAAAGGAACAACACAGGAAGCCATCAGAGCCGGTGAGGCCGGGACGTGCATGGAAATGCCAAGGCTCCTGGG